GAAATCAGATCACCAGTGTGCCCTTGAAGATGTGAAGACTTCTCTGCCTCAATTAGTCCAGAGTATTATAGTGTAGCTATGGACAGTGGGGGATCAAGTGATGCTCCTGCCTCAGCCTCCTGGGTAGCTTGGACCACAGGCATGTGCCACCATGCCCAGCTAATTTTTTCTATATATTTTTAGTTGGGTAATTAATTTCTTTCTATTTTTAGTAGAGATGGGGTCTCGTTCTTGCTCAGGCTGGTTTCAAACTCCTGACCATGAGCAATCTTCCCGCCTCAGCCTGCCAGAGTGCTAGGATTACAGGCGTGAGCCACCATGCCCAGCCTGTCATCTTTCTTTCTCATCTTTCCCTCTCACCCTTCTTACCTCACCCTGTTTGCAGGTTACCATGTATCAACATTGGCCTTTGCTAGATGATTATTTTGCTGAATAAATTATGTAAGCCACATTTTAGTAGTGCTCAGGTAGAGGATCCTATCTTATTTTGAAAAGTAGGCTCTATGGTCTTAGATCACTGTGAGGAGTAAGACTCCTAAAGGGTGTGTAAAGGATAAGTACCACCCAATCACTTCCCATGGGAAGTACCCAGTGGGAAGAGAGCCCTTCTAGATCAATACTGAGGAACTGAGGCAGGAAAGAGGGAGTCCCAGGATCACCATCACTGTGGTCCACTATAACCCTGCCTTGTCTGGTGATTTCCAGAATTAGATCACCCTTTCCCTTACTTAATTTTTTATTTTTCATTTCTTTTTAACAAATCACTTTCTGCCAAACCCTCACCACCTGTTCGGCTATGGCCTGTCTCATGGGCTGCCTTGTGTTGGTGTCCACGCCATTTCTGTCACACTGTGCTGTTCAGTGTTCTTCTCTGCCCCACTTTCCCAACCAGAATGCTGCCTCCTCTCCTCTAGGGGATAGGTCATGCTTGTCATTACTGTTTTAAGACACTTGTTTCTATTTCACGCATTGCCGAAATGGGTGCCTCGGACATTTTAGTCACTCAGCAAATAGTTTACTACATGCTATGGATAACAGGAAGAAATACCACACTGTGCAGGGCGGCAAAAATATGAATTTAGAGAATGGAAGAAATAATTAGTCGTAAACTAGAAACATGTCTTAGGACTATGAAAAAGGGGTAAACTCTTCGCTAACTCTCATGAGTGAAGGACTGAATGGCAATCACAAGAACGCAGGTTTAATTTATCTACTTTAACAAAAAGGACAGGAAGAATTTACTGAGGCGGGTTCTCCCCCCTGGTGAGAAAGGCACAGTATTCCTATAAGCACTTTGCAAAACAAGGAAGTAAGAATTTTATCTCTTTCATCCTTTCACTTTCCTCTTTGACAGTCT